AATATATGAACATAACATATTTTTCCTAAATATATGCATGCATGCGTGTGTGTGTGTGTATTTATATATATATACATAATAAACATACACAACACACACACATATACATGGCCTAAAACTTACTTTTTGCCACACCTGCCAATGGCCGGTGACGTGATAAAATAGTTTATGCATATATAATATAGTTTATATGAAGATTGTTTTAAAATCACTTCAATTAAAAGTTGTTATATATTTCAGATACATTCTATATATATTAATCTTTACTCAAGCTACAAAAGTTAATCAGTAACTAGAACAGTCCAAGGATTTCTCTTTTTCTTTTGTTCTTTGATTTACATCAATGACAGACTTCAGCAGGTTTCACTTTAAAATCAGCGCTGTCTCTTTAAAACCTGATGCATATAACGATCTGACATATATCCGATTTTCTCCCAACTCTTTATGGACATTTAAGACTTTATAACTCACTTAAGACTACGTTTACAAGGCAACTCGCCAAAACCGCGCATTTTGACATAATTGTGTGTGTTTTCGTGCATTGAATCGCTACTGGTGAGCTGTCTGCAGCACTAGATGAGTAATCTTTGTGAACAAACTGTTAAGTTGGCTTGAGAAAGCCTAGCCTGAAAGTTAGTAAGCGGTTATAAAAGCTTTAAGTTAAAAAGTTTAGATGCATAGATTAGATAGATGTTGCTAGCACATTGCTAGCATTATTTAACATGTTGTTAGCATGTTGCTAGAATGTTTATCCTGATTAGCATGTTGCTTGCATGATAAGCATGCTGTTAACAAGTTGTTAGTATGAATAGCATGTTTTCAACATGTTGCTAGCATGTTTTACTTAGCATTTTGTTAATATGATTAGCATGTTACTAACATGTTTCTAGCATGATTGCCATGTTTTCGCATTAAACATGTTGCCAGTGTGATTAGCATGTTGCTAGCATGTTTTTGCATGATTAGCATGTTGTTAACATGCCACTAGCATGTTTCTTGCATGATTACTGTGTTGCTAGCATGTTGCTACCATCTTTCTAGCATGGTTAGCCTTTTTGTTAACATGTTTCAAACATGATTACCATGTTAATAACATGTTTTAACAAGATTAACACATTGATAACATCTTTCTAACATGATAGCATGTTGCTACCATCTTTCTAGCATTGTTAGCCTTTTTGTTAACACGTTTCAAACATGATTACCATGTTATGAACATGTTTTAACAAGATTAACACATTGATAACATCTTTCTAACATGATAGCATGTTGCTAGCATGATTAGCATGTTTTAACATTATTAACATGTTGATAGCATGATTAGCATTTTTTTAGAATGATTGGCTTGTTGTTAACATGTTTCTAGCATAATTAACACATTGTTAGCATGTTTCTAGCGTGACTGACATGTTGTTAACATGTTTCTAGCATGATTAGCATGTTTTAGCATAAAACATGTTGCTAGTGTGATTAACATGTTTTTGCATGATTAGCATGTTGTTAACATGTTTCTAGCATGATTAGCATGTTTTAGCATAAAACATGTTGCTAGTGTGATTAACATGTTTTTGCATGATTAGCATGTTGTTAACATGTTTCTAGCATGATTAGTATGTTTTAGCATTAAACATGTTGCCTACATGTTGTTAGTTTGATTAGCATGTTGCTAGCATGTTTTCGCATGATTAGCATCTTGTTAACATGCCACTAGCATGTTTCTTGCATGATTACTGTGTTGCTAGCATGTTTCTAGCATGAACAGCATGTTGATGTATTTCTAACATGATTAACATGTTGCTACCGTCTTTCTAGCATGGTTAGCCTTTTTGTTAACACCTTTCAAACATGATTACCATGTTATTAACATGTTTCAACACATTGATTACAGCTTTCTAACATGATAGCATGTTGCTAGCATGATGACCTCACTGAGAAGTTTGAGAAGGGTTTCGATCTTTCTAGATCTACCTCGGACTCGAGCGATCTGAGGGATCCGGATGATCTCTTGTTCGAGTCATTTCATCCTGCCGATAGCACTTTACTGGCTTCATCCAGTCAAGATGAGGAATGTGGATGTGCTTGGTGATGATGGTGAGAGTGTGGCAGACTAGTGGCAGACGATTTTTGATGGTTCCTTTCGCCCCGATCTTCATACCGAGTTAGAGAGATCGTGGGCAAAACCATATTCAGCTCAGCTACACTTTTCCAACATGCAGATTATGCTAATGTGAAGGGAATGGCTGAGCACAGATATGTGAAAATGCTCCCATGGAAGAGACACTTGTGGACTGTTTCTCCCAGGGCGAGTTATCTTCTTTGAAGGCTCCTGTCCTGCCATCCAAGCTGCTTCAGACAACCTTGTCTTTAAATGGCAGGGTGTACGTGGCAACAGGTCACGCCAGGGGGCTTTGCAGAACATGGCTTTGCTGCAAGCTTACCAGGCAGACCTGCTTAAAGACCTGGATGAGGGTAAATGTTTACCCCCTGAAGAGGTCGAAGAGTTGCACCGTACTACGTATTTGGTTCTCTGTGCCACTAAGCAAACTGCAGCTGCTATAGGACGAGCGAAGGTGGCAATAGTGGGCTCAGAGAGACATCTGTAATTGAATTTAGCAGAAGGAGAAAAGAAAATAACTTACTCCCACCCCAGAAGTATTTTCAGTCGCTGCTTACATCAGACCCTGAGGCTGAACTAATGTTATTGGCGAGTTTGCCTACATTTGCGAACCACCTGGTGATGGTCCAGTCTCTCCCCTGAGTTGTGAGCTTTATTCTTACCAAGTATTTCAGAGCAGGGTCGGACTGCCTCCCCAGTTTTTTAGGGTTTTTAAGTAGGTGGTCACCCTGAAGTTTCTTTTTTTTAAGTGTTAGACTGCCTCCCCTGATTTCAGGGTATTTTCAAGCAGGCAGTCCACCTGAATCCCACATTCTTTGATTGGGCTGTCTCCTCTGTGTTAGGGTTTCAAGTTGGTAGCCCATTGTCCTTAGGAACATAGTTGTTTGAGGACAGTTGTGTTCCCAACTTGACTGAATGGGATGTCCCTCCTTAATATTAGTATCGGTTGGGTTCCGCATTTCCCCTAAGCTGTTTTGCTGTCTGGAGCATCGTTGGTGTACATCGTGTCATGGCATAGTAGGCATTTAATTTCCCATAGTGGCTAATAGAGGACACAGTGCATTTTCACTTGAAGGGAACATCTCGGCTTACACCTGTAACCATGGTTCCCCGAGAGGGAACAAGACACTGTATCCCCTTGCCATGCCTTGGACCTGCCTGTTTCACGTTTCCTTCAGACAAAGAAGTTGATGACATGCATTACAGTTGTCATCTCGTACTTCCGGTTGCTCCGCTAATGACTTCACAAGCTGCACGATCCAATGGATTCGGAGCGTTTTCCACATGCTTCAGACACCAGTCATGCTGATAGCATTCCTCCTAGTGTCCACTAGAGGACACAGATTCTCATTCCTTCTCGGGGAACCGGGACTGCATGCATAACCTGAGACGTTTCGCTTTGTGATACTGTAAATTGTATTTTAAAATATGTTCAGATTTTAAAAGTTGTGTAGTGTTTTCCAGAATGCAAAGATTGAAGACTGCATGTTCTGGCCTGCAGTGGAGTCTGACAGGTGTTCAGTAAAACCGCCTGAAGACTGCCATCATAACACTCCCAGTCAAACCCAGCAGTCACCGCTAAAACAATGTAATACTTCTGACAGGTATATTTATATAAAGCTTTTCTGCTAATGCCTGTAATAGGGTCATTGTTGAAATTATAGTGATTACAGATGGCATTTTACCTTTTATGACTTGGCCTCAGCCTCGTTGTGCTTCAGATGAATTAAGAGATTACTGTAATCATACCTTGTTTTACCAATGGTAGGTAATTGGGAAAGCCATGCATGCCTAAGCCTGTGGCCAATGAACAGTAATTGGACGTCTGCGACATTCATTGCAAAGTTACAACTGCTGCGTGTGTTCACTGATCAAAGACAGAATTTAACGACAGAAGTTCACTTTGAAAAATGTACATGGAAAACTTAATCTTGAACGTTTATTGTTGCCCTAATGGTTTCATTATTGTTATTATTATTATTATTAGTTTATTTATTTTTATAGATAATACAAGGCAATGTTTCAAATACAAAGTAATGCCATTCCTCTTAATGCAGTAATGTTGGCCTGAGAGGTGAGTGTAATGGATAACAGTACACATTAAATGTGTACTGGATATTTAAATAAGAATAAATACATACCAATATTATATTTTATGAAACGGTTAGCTTTGTGACTTAGTTTGAAGCCATTAAATACCTAAAATACGACTGAATCATTATTTCAACACATTATCATGGCAGTTTGTAACTATTTTACATTTGTATGAATTTGTATGATCTCATTGGTATGTTTTCATATGGGTGGAACTTCATGCTTACTTTTTTTTCCCTAGTTTGTGCTAGGAAATGGATATGTATTGTGGCATTCAGGACAAAACCTGCTGACCAACTGGCTGTTGTCGCATTTATTTCTGCTGTGTGAGAGGGACTTATACACATCGAGTAAAAATGTCCTGAGTCTATCATTGTTATCGACATAAATGTTATCACACATGATATTTTATCTCAATATGTTATAGTTTATCACCCAGCCCTAGTGGACACAGTAGTTATCATTATAGTTGACAATATTTGTGCCTTTACTTGTGGTCACTGTAATGTATTTCCTTATGTGGCATATAAAGAAAATAATAATTTCTGAAATGGTGAAAATTAACATTTTCTCATCTTATTTTCTTATGCATCATTATAACTGCATGAAAAGGCACTGAATGTAATTTGGATATAATAAATGGCATTTTAGAGGTGAATTCCTCTTAGACTGTGCCTCTCGCTGACCCTAAAGTCCCAAGCCTAGACATTGATGAGTGACACTGATGAATCATCAGGCACAATCCAATATCTGCTGTCCAAGGAGTGTCACCTCAAACTTTGAGTCACACTCAGGATGTGGCATCCTGGTGCAACATTCCCTGCCAGTAAGCTAAGAGGGTGCACACAAAAACACAAACCTTGACTTTGGGAGGGTTCATCCAGTGATGTCTCATAATGCTGCTGGCCGTCATGTTGCTCGGCAGAATGACCACATCATTGTTACTGTCTCTGCATGACAACTCACACTCCTCTCCTGAGAAAAACAGACAGAGAACATAAATCCACAGTTCATGTAACATCTTGAACACTGCATAACATCTTTCTTTAGTGTTTGAAGAGAACTGCTAAACAGTTTGTCTGCTCATCACTAAGGCCATTACAGGCAATGACACTTCTTCCAGTTTAACCATGTTGAGGTCTGACAGTTACAGCATGTCTTCTGATGAAGATTTTGTAAATTATTGAGTTCTGTCTCTAAAACTTTACTGTGACAGTATACTGTGTATAGGAGATTGCAGCATCAATTTTAGGGTAGAAGTCACATCACATTTAACTAAAAATTAAAATAAATTCTACTCTGCATGGAAACAATTAAGCCTATTTTGCATAATAACATTGTTTTCATGGCAACAATATTTATTACAAACAGTACACAAAATAATCATCATAATATGTCAAAACTATAATTTGAAATTTTGGGGTTGATACGATTTTATATATATATATATATATATATATATATATATATATATATGTTTTTGAACGAAGTCACCAAGGCTGCATTTATTTTGATATATTATTACATAGCTTGCCATGTGAATATATTGTAAAATGTTATTTATTCTAATGATGCAAAGCTGAATTTTCAGCATCAATACTCCAGTCTTCAGTGTCACATGATCTTTCAGAAATCATTATAATATGCTGATCTGCTGCTCAAGAAACATTTCTGATTATCAATGTTGAAAACAGTTGTGCTGTTTCACATTTTTGTGGAAACTATGATGCATTTTCAAAGATTATTTGATGAATAGAAAGTTCAAAAGAAAATAATTTATTTAAAATAATATTTTGTTACATCATGAATGTCTTTACTGTCAACTTTGATCAATTGAATTTGTCCTTTTTTTGAAGATGTATTAATTTCACGAGTTCACTCTGCAGATAATAAATCGGGATAAATGGTATGCGTATTTTTGGCGTGCTGTCCGGGGAGAGGGCTATATCCAAAATATAATATAAAGCAGTAGTTCCCTTTCGAGTGGGAACTCGTGCTGTGTCCCCTAGAGGGTGTTATGGGGAATGCCCCCAGCATGACTGGTGTCTCAAGCATGAGTCTAAACACGACAATGACCTTGACATTGGCAGGAGGCAGCCTATGAATTCACAACTGGTGAGGTCCGAGAGTATAAAAGAGAATCTGTGAAATACGTCAATTTCTTTCTTGTCTTCAAGAGACTGTTTGTTTGTACATGAGTTAGGAGCGCGCATTTAGCTCCTGAGGGAGCAGAATGAGCGCATTGAAAGGATTTCTTAATGAAAGCTTCGTTAGCACTGTCCCTGTTATGGGACGGGATGTGTGACAAAGTTTTGGGTGGAATGCTGTCTTCTCTACGAGCAAGCTGTATAAGCTAGGTATGATGCATTCACGAGACTTACTACAAGAGGTAGGAACTTCTTCCTTTCTGCTCTCTCTAGAGGGACAGTAGTTAGTGTTTGCACGAGCACGTTCGGCTAGGCATTTGCGTCTGCGGTCCCGTATGACCGCCATTACGGTGAGGTGGGATTAAGCATGGGGGTTGTAGGCAGAGCATGGATGAGTCAAACAGGAAGTTTTCCTTTTTTGGCTCCTCTTGTTGACTCAAATAACACTATTGTTCTTTATGTGTCGAATTCTGAGGAATCGGCTTTCTGTGAGCCTCCTTACAGGATTTCCTGAGCGTGGGGCATAGTTAGACCTCCTCTCGTTTTGAGAGTTGTCATAGGTAGTGGCCTAAGTTGTTAGGCTCCCTCCATCCTCGACTTTAGAAAGTAGTCATGCTGAGTCTTTTGTTTCCAGAGCTCAGTTTCTGTTTGCTAAGTTGCTAGGCTCTTTGTGTGCCTTCTTGGCCATTGTGAGCATCGTCAGGCCTCCTCTTGTTAGAGAGAGTTATCTTTATTGTGTTACATCCGCTCGCCAGAGCTCCTCTAGGACATCATTTTGCAGGTTGTAGGCTCTGTGAGCCTCCTTGCACGTTATCCAATGCGAGGGGCGTAGTTAGGCCTCTGTTAGTTAGTTTTTGTTTTAGAAAGCCATCATGCTGAGGCCTCTGCTCCTAGAGCTTGGCCATCTTCTGCAAGCATCGTCAGGCCTCCTCTCGCTACAGAGAGTTATCTTCATTGAGGTCTCCACTTGCCAGAGCTCCAACTAGGGCAGCATCTGTGAGTTGTAGGCTCTCTGTGAGCCTCTTTACAAGATGTCCTGAATGTGGGTGTAATTAGGCCTCCTCTCGTTTTTGAGAGTCGTCATGCTATGGCCTCCACTCCTAAGAGCTTGGCCGTCTACTGTGAGCATCGTCAGGCCTCCTCTCGCTACAGAGAGTTATCTTCATTGAGGCCTCCACTCGCCAGACCTCAGTTAGGACAGTATATGTGAGTTGTAGGCTGTCTGTGAGACTCCTTACAAGATGTCTTGAGCGTGGGGCATAGTTAGGCCTCCTCTCGCTTTAGAGAGCCGTCATGCTGAGGCCTCCACTCCTACAGCTCGGCCATCTACTGCGAGCATCTTCAGGCCTCCTCTCACTACAGAGAGTTATCTTCATTGAGGCCTCCGCTTGCCATAGCCCCATTAGGACAGTATATGTAAGTTGTAGGCTCTTTGTGAGCCTCCTTACAAGATGTCCTGAGTGTGGGGCATAGTTAGGCCTCCTCTTGTTTTAGAGAGTCGTCATACTGAGGTCTCCGCTCCTAGAGCTCTACTATCTACTGTGAGCATAGTCAGGCCTTCTCTCGCTACAGAGAGTTATCTTCATTGAGGCCTCCACTCGCCAGAGCTCGACTAGGACAGCATCTGTGAGTTGTAGGCTTTCTGTGAGCCTCCTTAAAGGATTTCCTGAGCGTGGGGCATAGTTAGACCTCCTCTCGTTTTGAGAGTTGTCATGCTGAGGCTTCCGCTCCTAGAGCCCGGCCATCTACTGCGAGCATTGTCAGGCCTCCTCTTGCTACAGAGCGTTATCTTCATTGAAGCCTCTGCTGCTAGAGCTCGGCTAGGTGGTAGGGTAGTATGCTAGGATGTTAGGCTCTCTGGGAGCCTCCTTGGCTACTGGCCTTAGAATGGAGTGCTGCTAGGCTGCCTCTCATTTTTAGAGGTGTTGTATCTAGGCCTCCACTCTGCAGAGCTTCACGGGCCAGTTAGCTCTTAGTTTTAGGCTCTCCATTGTTGAGAAGCTCTGGCTTAAGATTGTGTTGCTGGTGCAGGGGTGAGGATTCCTTTGGTTCTTTGACTTGGCTCAGCCAATAAAGCACTCAACCCTTCAGAATTGCTGCGTGGGAATACCGTTCCCCATAGCACCCTCTAGGGGACACAGTGCGAGATCCCATTCGAAAAGGAACATCTCAGGTTACGCATGTAATCATGGTTCCCTGAGAAGGGGAAGGAGATGATGCGTCCCTTTGCCATGCTTCATGAATTCGTGCATGTCTACTTCAGAAAAGAAGTGGATGAAATATTTCACAGGCGCTCTTTGATACTCTCAGCCGCACCAGTTGTGACATCATAGGCTGCCGTCTACCATTGTCAAGTTCATTGTCGTGTTTAGATTCATGCCTCAGACACCGTCATGCCAGAGGCATTCCGCATAGTGCCCTCTAGGGGCGGAGTGTCTAGTTCCCCTTCTCAGGGAACCATGGTTACATGCCTGAGGTAACCTGAGACTTTCTCCACCCCAGAAAAGGGTTACAACCACTGGTATAAACAATTATGTCATGGATTTCCGAAACATTATATATCAGTACTAACTGTTCTGATGATATACTGCCAAATTTGAGATAATTTTTTATCTGAAAATCTGAATTCTGATGGTTTCATCAGGCTGAACAAAACACACAAGTGCACAACCAAAAGCATAAATTCTATCCCAGCATAAAAAGTAACTTACACGGCTCTGAATGAATCTGAAAAAGAAATCGGTCTCTCTGTGCAATGCACAAGTTTGCGGTAAGAGTTTGTACCTATGCCATGGCCCTTCTTGCAGCTGACATGGATGTTGGGATGCAGGTTCTGAGGTAGAGAGCATTGACCCTTCAGCTGAGGGCATAAGCGGAAGCTTCCGGTCCAGTTCCCATCCTTTCTGCAGCGGATGACATTGGTGCCGAGCCCCTGTGGAGACGGCAAAACACATTTTACAGCATTCACTACGACATTCTAAATGAACAGCCAGTGGAAAGAACAGATAAAGACATGCATGTCCATAAATACCAAATTAAAGAGTTCTTTATTTTTGTCAAGGTTTACACTTGTCAAGTCAAGACACATTTATTTATATTCCATTTTATACAATACAAATTGTTTCAAAGCAGTTTCACAGTAATAAACAAGAAAATAACAGTATTAATGTAATGGAACAAATGCAACTTCAGCTGTAAATAAGCTCTAAAAACTACATTTCAAAAGACTGGGGTAATTTTTTTATGTTTTTGAAAGAAGTCTCTTCTGCTCACGAAGGCTGAATTTGTTTGATCAAAAATGCAATAAAAACGGTAATATTATGAAATATTATTAATATTTAAAATAACTATTTTCTGCTTGCATATATTGTAAAATGTAATTTATTGCTGTGATAAAAGCTCAATTTTCAACATCATTACTCCAGTCTTCAGTGTCATATGATCCTTCATAAATCATTCTAATATCCTGATTTGCTGCTCAAGAAATTATCATCAGTAATGAAAACAGTTGTGCTGCTTCATATTTTTGTGGAAACCATGATACATTATTTTGCAGGATCCTTTGATTAATAGAAAATTCAAAAGAACAGAATTTATTTATTTATTTGAAATCTTTTGTAATAGAAATTTTACTGCAGCTTGTATTGTAGTAATTTTCTGAAACTTTTGATCAATTTATTGCATTGTTCCTGCATAAAAGTCTTAATTTCTTGTCACTAGTATTGATTAATGTCACTGATATATGTCATTAAGCATATAAGCCGACTGTCTGCTTAATGTTTGCTAACACTTGAATTCCCAACACACGTTCTATTGACTTTGAGTAACTTTGCAAGTAATAGTCTATTAATACTCTAATGAGAGATAGTTGACATGTAGTTGCAAAGTCACTAGTTATCCTACAGTAAGTCGTACCTCTTTGCATGGTGGTTGTCTCAGCGTGTTGTTGGCCCCGTTGCAGTGGATCCAGCAGGTGCTGTCGAACTTGAAGCTGTCAGTGCACTGGTACATGCCATAGAAGACAGATGGAGGAGGTGGACAGGTGACCGGCTCACATGAGCCCTCTAACCAACGGCCGTCTTCTGTACACTGACGCTTGAAGGCTCTCCTGCAGGAACCAAGACATGTCATATGCTGTGATACCATTCATGTCAAATTTCATTTTGATAATAAAAGACAACTCCATTTTCGTTTAACCATGCATGCTGAGTGGTTGTTGTTGTGTTTTTCGGTCCGTGTTTTGATTTGTGGATGATTGTATGTTTGCGCACCTCTTTGGCTTGTTGGCCACATGGTATCCTAGTTTGCATTTGTATTTGCAGAGGGTGCCCACTTTAAGACCTGTCTCATTGCAGCGTTTGGTCTGCAGCACGGCACTGGGCACGGGAGGCGGTGCAGGACAGCGG